TTCACCCCCGGCTATGTCTGTCTTCTTCTTCACTCTCCTCCTTCCACACTTCTTCTTCTCTCTCCTCAGTCCCTCCTTCTTTGTCCTCCCCTTTCTCTCTCCTCCGGTACTCTGTGTCAATGCTCCGCGGCTATGGCCGCCGTCTTCCTTCTCCCCCGGACTCCGCAGTCTCGCCTTACAGGTAAGTGACAACCAATCTTGGATCGCTCATCTCTCTCTCTCTCTCTCTCTCTCTCTCTCTCTCTCTCTCTCTCTCTCTCTCTCTCTCTCTCGCCGTAGCGGTATCTTCAGCGCAGCAGGTAAGGACCCAATCTTGTATCTCTCATGTCTCTCTCTCTCTCACTCTTTGTCGTGGTCTTCTTGTTGCAGGTGCGCGGCGTCTTCTTCCACCTCGAGGTCCGCTATGGCGGACTGCCTCCTCCGGCGGTCACTTCAGCTGCGGCACATCGGCCCTGCACACATCGCGCGCGTGGAACAGCGGGTACCAGCTCTGATACCAGTGCAATCAGACTAGACTTATTCACTCTTTTCACGCACGTGAACAGCAACACACAACTGGCGACATGCGCCCACACAGTACACAAAGATATGTCTTCCAGGTAAGTTCGCTTCCACTGGCTATGGCGACTAAGCGCCCAGACAACTCACTGTTCACACTTTGGATCACCCTGGATGTCCCACACGCAACACTCTGTAACCACACGCAACACACACACACACACTACTATAGCTATGGCAGCACTAGCTGCCACTACCCTATCGCTACACTACACTTCTCTGCCCACTTCGTCTTCGGGCACACTGCAGACCTCCTCGCACAAGCTGCTGAGGCAGCGCTTCCGCATGGCATCGGCAGGAATGAATGAATGGCTGGACACAGCCTCTTGATTTATACTTCTGCGCTGCGTTGGTCTGCCCTGTGTCCCTTGGCCCTTGGTGCACACAGTCCCAGACGGTACTTGCTGGACAGGACCGGACTGCCTAACTGGGACTGATGACTTAGCAGGGTGGCCTACCACCACTTGACCACTTGCYTCTGTTCAAYGTAGGCTCACTCCGAAAGGCCGCTTCTAGAAACCTCTGACTTGGCCTTTCGGTGCTGTAGCAGCTACGACTTTGCCCCTTCAGGTAAGTAGCAGCTAGGACCTTGACCTTTCAGACAACCTACAACTACGACTTCGGAACTGTCTAGACTCCTACCCTACAAGTCCACAGTTCGATTCCCTTCTAAGCTGTGACCTACGACAATCCACCTACCTCTGGCGTTTCGACAGGTCGCAGGTTCAAATCTATGGGTTGACATCAATACTGTACTCAGGTAAGATGGGGAACTAGGGATCGAGCCCTGGGATCTGCATTCGCTACTGCGAACTGGTGAATACCGTTTCACAAGGAGATCTGAAGGAGATTGGCATATTGCCGTGACCTTAGCTTCCAAAATGAGATGAAAAAGAACGAGAAATCAACACGCGCAAGCCTTCTGCTCTCATGCCATGGCCCCAGGTCATGCAACCACTCGTCAACGCGAGGGGGGGACACTGATCCGTAACACCAGTCAGAGAGCAGACGAGGGGTGAAGTAGGGTTTAGGGTTTAGAGGTGCTAGCACGGACTTTAAGAGTCACGAGTTCTCAGAGATTTTCTCCTGTTCTGGTCTGCCAGCATTATTTCAGTTCCAACCGTCGTTGAACTTGCAGTTAAGGAGACTGGGCCCGGTTTCCAGTGTAGCCCAATTAGGGCATATTTGGAATGATAGGGATACAGAAGGGTTCAGGGTTTAAGAATTTCAAAGAATGAAGGCAGGCAGGACACAAAAGGTGGCAGATAGGAGTATTGTTGGTCATGTTTTTTTCCGCTCTTGCCTTACTGATTCAATAGGTGATTTTCATTGCAGGCAGTATAGTTTGTTCCTTTCATCCTTGTTTGGGTCTTATGAGCCCAGTTTATGGTTGTTGGTTGCAGTGAACGGGATGCTGGACCCGGTTTCCAGCACAAGCCCACCTGGGTAATGGCCCCAGTACTCTCCAGGTTGAGATGTTGAGGAATTACCGGCCTCATTGTTTGGATATATAATAAAACTGCACCTCGTTAAAAAAGAAAAAAGAAAAAAGTTTGATGCTCCCCAGAATGGAAAAGGAGTCAGAACCATAAGGTTCTGTTTTTTTTTTTTTTTTTTTTTTTTTTGAAGAATGGGAAGATTGCTACAATTTGAGACAACAGATTATGCTGGAAGAACTGGGACCCAATGTGAGATACGAGATGGCCGCCCACGACAGTTCCTAGCAAGGACATCAGACTTTTAGAGCCTGGATTCAACCAAGCCAAGACGATTCTAATTTCTAACTTATCAGAGATGGCAAGCTGACAGTCAGTCCTCCATTATATGAGCAATCAACGCTTTTCAGGGGTCCGCCAAAGGAAGGAAGCATAGAGTGCATTCACTGATTTTTTTTTATTTTTTTTTTTGTGACTCACCGGGGAAAAAAGAACTGGGCTGATGTTCCCCAGGGTCACAAGCACCTGTTTCTCGGGTGGGGGGAAGAAGAAAAAGGAAAAAAAGGAAAAGAAAAAGAAAGAGACAAAGCAAGGGGTAATGGCACACTTTCCGACCTTGATGTCTGGTGAAAGCTTTGCCACATGAGCCTGGAGTATGGCATTATATATACGAGTCAATGATTCATGGGAAGGAAACTGGATCTCAAACACATTGAACAACGAGACGAAACGTGGTTCCATGTGATTCCTTGCACCACCTGGGGGTCCAATCGCCCCAACAAACTGCACATCCTTCATGTTCTTCCAGTTAAGATCTTTGCTGCACCCAGAAATGCCCAAAGTTCCCCAAACCATGAGAGGAATCATAACGGCAATCAATCCATATGTTATGATCCTGGCCAATACCGAAGTACACATTCATTAGAAAAAAACAATGCCATCCAATTGCAAGAAGAAATGAATGAACTTGAGAGGAGAGAGAG